CTGGCGCGATCGTCGCGCGGGGATTTTTTGCTCCACGGAGGGCAACAGCAGGTTCGAAAAGGGTCGCAACCCCCCCAGAACTGCGACTGCGAGAAGTGGTACTCACAAGGCATGCGGGAGGATCCCGGGAGCTCCCCCCCGCGCCGGCAGACTCCCCCCGTGCTTTCTCTGGCCGGCATAAATGGCTCTTAAAAAAGGGGACTTGCCAAAAATATGTAATAAAATGAATGGACAGTCGGTAGGAACCTGCACTGACCTTTCCACCAGTGCTTTCTCTGAAGGGACGAAATGAGGTGTGAAAATGAGTCGTGGAGAAGGGGGAAGAGGAGATTTGTTGTAGACGGACACCGTGGTGGCTGGGGGGATGCGAAGAGCGCGGAAGGAGGGCCCTTGGGCGTGGAGCTGGAGCGAGGGACACGGAGAGCGCAGAGGGAAGGCCCTTGGGCCTGGAGCTGGAGCGAGGGTGCCTGCGGCAAGCAGAGGCGAGCGGCAGCGGCCTGCATGGCTGTCGGGCGGGAGAGCAGGGGCAGGAGGGGGAAGGTGAGCTGGGAAGGAGCCCAGGAAGGCGGGAGAGGAGGAGAGGCTGCCTGAAGGAGCTGTGCTGAGGACAGGGCAATGCTGTGCGAGGACCCTTTGCCAGTTCTGAAACACAGCGTCAGGTAAACAAGCTAAAGTTTTGAAGACGAACCCTGCTGAGACCTGGAAGACTCGGCACAGAAGATTCAAATCTTTGTGGCAATAACTCCCACGAATGCCAAACTCACTTGCCGGGACATGGCAATGCCAGGGAACCCCCAGTCCTGGTCTCACAGGCTGCTCAGTGCTTTGAGCTGGTTCAGACCACTGTTTCGAAGCAGCTCCAGGCAGCGTTTCTGTTAGCAGAGCATGGTTTCAAGGCAGTGAATGGTGTTATTCACTCTTTGAAGAATTGTAAGGAGAAAATTATGGAGCGGGGAAAACAGCACAGACTGTCCTTGGAGCTTTGTGTAACCATGCCCTCTTTGAAATAAATATAAAGGAGCAAATAAAACCTAATCAAAGAAACAAGAAAACCCCTATCTGTAAAGTGTTCAAATGCTGTAAAGCAAAAGCAAAGACAGAAATTAACTCTCTGTAAGGCTATTGCGCATTTCCATTTGGGAAGCAGCAGGACAGGAACACACAGATACTGGCTGCTGACACCGCAAGCTGCACCTGCCACATCCGATAGACAAGTCTTAATTAAGTGACTGACAGGACGAAACGTGGTGTTCAGCCCCGCCAATGCAGCCTGGAAGAAAGCAAGCACCGAAAGCAAGCACCGCACCTCTCCAGGGCCCCAGCACAATCTGCCAAGGCCTGGGGTGGGCAGTTGCTTTCCGATAGCTGATGCAAAGGCAGGAAATTGTTGTCAGTGCACGACAAATGGCCGTCTCATCGATCTTTCAAAACCCAGGAGATACAGCACATGTTCCTGGGCGCTTGCTAGAAGCTTAGTTACTTGTTACTTAACCCCACACAAATGTCTTGCTGCTCTGCCACCCACTCTCCTCCCTTTTATGTGCCAGCGTGTGTTGGGCATGTAATTTGTTGCTGATAATTACAGTTCCACAAAGTAAGGAACAAACAGAGAGGGACCCACGACTCTTCAGCCAAATGCTGTCTGTTCTTATGTGCCTTCCCAGGTGATGCTGTCCCTCCTTTGCCTCCCACGGTGCACAGACTCTCATAGCGAAATCACTGTCTAGTCACAATCCATAATACTGACATGTCTTTTTCTTACTTTGGATGCAAAGAGTTAACAGCATTTTTTGTTTAAAGAATGGAAGTGATTGTTGCCAGTGCACTGAGTTGTGGAGGTGGTAAATGAATGCATAGCAACACATACTCTGCAAACACAAATACAGCTGGTGAAAAGATTAATAGAGCAAGGGCAGGAAGTAAGAACATTTGTCACTGAAAAAAATGGCTATGTAGAGCTAAAAAACAGAGTGATGGACACACAATGGGACAGGAATAAAAGACTGGAACAGAATGTCAGGGTTGATGAGCCTTGTTCTCTCTGCTGCGGTCTACCCCATCATACAGTCCTTCCAGACACTGAACAGGGCTATAGTAGCAGCGTAACGATAATATGGGATGTGACAGCAGACTGATGAAGGTGTCTCAGTTGGGATATATGGGATTAAATCTAAACCGTGCTTTAGACCTGCTTGGAAGCTCTGCTCCGGTTGACTCAACTATGAATGAGTATCTGAACTAGATGTACACAGCTTTTCTGTTCTCAGTAAGCTGTGCTCAGTGTACAACTGGAAGGAGGCTTGTGAGATCTAAAAGTGGTTTCACCCTGTCTAACTGTGCTTGCACCTGGAGCCTGACTGAGGGCTTGGCCAGCCCTGAAGACATCAGAGAAACCAGGCAAAACTGGAACCAGTTTTCTGAATGGTGCATCCCATCACGGGGTCATGATGGATAGGCTTAGAAATATTCTGCTTGGTCTTAGCCATCCAGGAAATTTTGCAGTGCTGCATGGGATCCTCAGTGGAGCATTCCTCCAAACATTTTTATTCTTTTAATTCCTTTCAGCTTAATAACGTGTACACAGAGACTTTTAGTGCTCTTTTGTTTGCAGAATTGTCAATTCCCTGCCTCACGTGGTCAGGGGACGTTGGGTTTCCAGCGGTCCCTTTGTGAGTGTTGCAAAACTGCATAGCACCCAAGAGAAAGGTGCGCTCCGTCCAGCATGGCTCAGAGCATAATATATTCAGAAAAGGCCAGGGAGACTATTTCATAAACTTCCCATTTCCACTTGAATAGATCATATTGCTCAGTGAAGTAACTTGGCTAGGGAGCCAATAACAAGGGGCTACAGTAAAATTTAAAACCTATTAAAGAAATATATGGACCTGTGTACAGGTCTGTGAGAAATAACAAAGGTAATAGAAGTGAATGAAGAGGTAAAGCTAAGCTTTCATATAAAGTGTAAAAGAAAAAAGTGATGTAATTTTTTTTCTTAGAGAATATAAGTATTCTGAGGATAGCAAGCAAATATTTGGACAACTCTCTACGAAAAAAGTATCCAGCATTCCCGTGTGTTTAAAACACATTACTGTCACAGATTTATTGATTTCTACAGCAAAAGTAGATAGGAAAGCAATTTCATTCTATTTTGGTGCTTCACTAATGCACATCCATTGTGCATTAATAAAAGACACAATAGGTAAATAAATTTACAGAGAGACAAAGGAATCGTAGATGTATGATATGATGTACTAGAATTGTTGAATGGAGATTAAATCCTTGCTAAAGTCTTCTGCTTCCCGTGTCTGAGTATGTAAAATCATGGTGGGGATAACTAGAGTTCCTGAGCAAGAAGTCAATCCTTTGTCTTAGAGCAAAGGGTCATCTGGAGGAGCAGGGGTGGAAGAGTGGGCTGTTGACCACTTGAAAAACATGGTAATTACAGCCCATTTTTTTGGGTCAGCCTGTTTGGACATTTTTAGCTATGTGCGAAGAGACTCTGCAAGGAGGAGAAATGCGACTTGGAAGTGTAAATCAATTACTTATGAGCTAGCAGGCATGAAGGACAGGTAGCA